TTAGTACTTTTGCAGGATCGGTTGTTTTGCCAGATTTTCAGAGGAAACGCTGCTGTTAAATTAAACTATTACATTACATTGGCGAGTAAAAAACAAGAAAGTTGATCGGAGACTCGTCGCTATTTTTCAGTTATTATTTCCTATCATGTTAGAAAATTCACTTTTCCCCCACACTTTTTTATTTATTTTATTACATTATCATTATTTTTTTATTTGTTTTGTTCAGTTGAGTACGGACCAAAGAGATTCAACTTCCTGCTGATTCCGAATTTGGCTCCTCAAAGCAATAGCAGACCAGACAATGGAAGAAGAGAAAATGACTAGTGTTGAAGGATGAATATGGTACATGAAACGGTAGGGAATCTGTCCTATTCTCAGCACTCAATTCTCCTAATTTTAGTTTTGTCTTTCAATTTCTTTGATAAAATACTTACTATCTCTTTCACCGTTTGGAGTCATCAACACTAATTAACATTAACCTTTTATAAAAACACAGTCTTTTGCAGTGTTGTTCCTGTAGTTTTACTACACAACTTGAGTGGGCTTTCACTTTTCAAGGCTGTTTCTACTGTGGAAGAACACAAAATTATTTTCATTAGAATTTGAAATTCAGTGTGGGAAATGATGTAGAGCTAATTAATTATTAGTCTTTTTGTCATTAGTAATGATTACTTTTCGTCAACTTTTGAGTTTTTTCTTTCCATATTAATTGTGAATTATTGATAATAATGATACTTTGCTAGGCTCATCCAAATACTTGTGTCATCCTATCCTCTTTATACATAATTTTATAATATTTTTTAGAGATTTTACTTGTTATAAAATATATGATATTTGATAGCTTTATAATCTTGTTTAACTTAAAATATATGACATCTGGTACTTACTTCACTTTTTTTTTTTTGAAGAAATAGTCAATTAAATTTTAATTCTCATTATTGAAGCACTTGTAAGAATTATTTAATGAAATCATAATTAAAAGCACATACATTTTTTAAAAGATTGATACATCAACTAATTTTTAAGAACAATGAAATAATTATCGACATCCTATATTATAAACATCAACTAACTTTTTAATACACATAGGTATCTTTTGATTAGATATATTTTTATTTGAGGCAAATCTAGATATTAAATGTGGACATCTCTATCATAGAAATTTGAATTTTAGTTCACATGTTTCAAAGAGTTAGCTCCTTTCGTTAACTATA